TTGAGGTAAATACTGTCAGAGTGTGAATGCAGGCCAAATTGTAAATGCTGCATGTGTTAAATGAGAGGAGGAACTGAGAGCTTAATGCAGTCCCTAACAAAAAAAAGTTGAATTTCACCTGATACCTCTTGATGCAGGCAAGTAGTGTGACACCGTCTCACCGTGTCCTCTCTGACACTACCTTGCATGACTGTTCTCAATGCTGAGTTCAAGTCTCTTTTACATCTTGCAGCACTCTGCACATAATGTATATGGCTGCTTTCTTGTGAAAACTATCTGCGAAATAGCCAGCCCAGGTTTCGGCTTTGTGACAATGTATTTTCTCCAGAGAAAAAAAAAATGTTTTTTTTACCATAACCGTTTAGTTTATCTGAAAATGTCCAAATCACCAAGTTTGGACATGTGAATACAGTAGTTGTTCTAAAGTGTACTTCACAGGCTCCAGCCATATAGAGATGTGAGGAACTGCCATTACATGAGGAAGAAACCTTAGTGACACCTTACTTGTTTTGCCTCTTCCTCATTGAATACAGTAGTTGTTCTAAAGTGTATTTCACAGGCTCCAGCCATATAGAGATGTGAGGAACTGCCATTCAATGAGGAAGAAACCTTACTTGTTTTGCCTCTTCCTCACTGAAAATTTTCCCTTGGTCTGTGTGTGTGTGTGAGAGAGAGAGAGAGAGGAACCATATTTTACTTCCCTGTTCTCTTTTACCTGTCATCTGTGGTGAGATGTTGTTCATGTGTGTGTGACTGTCTTCTCATGCATTGTAACCATAAATTCTCAGCAGGTAACTTCACCTTTAATATGTCTCATTTTCCACACTTCTCCTTTTGCCACCCTCCTGTGTACGTGTGTGTGTGTGTGTGTGTGTGTGTGTGTAAATGTGTGAGTGAAGTGTTTCAGGATCACCAGTGCTCTCTCAATGTCAGCTGACAATAGACCTTTAAAAGGCTTGTGTTAAGAAGGACCTGGGGTGATCTGGGTGTGTGTGTGTGTCTGTGTGTGTATTTGTCAAAGTGATACGCATTCATGCGTGTGTGTGAGTGGTTTGTTGTTGCTGCTTTTCCCAGTGTCCTGTTCACCTCGAAGGGTACAGCCGTCCCTTGGACCCGCCTGGCATGCTGGCAAAGCACTTCTCCATTGTGTGTGTGTGTGTGTGTGTGTATGTGTGTGTATGGATATACTGTATGTGTGTGTGTCACTTTGAGGGGGAAAAATCTCACTGTTATCAAGGTTAAGCGTCCTACTGTTTTAGTGAGAGGAAAGGGGGAGAGGGGGAAGAGGGAGATGGATAGATAGTGGATAGAGGGTGAGAGCCTGGAGACAAAGAGAGAGTGATGAAGGGAGGGAGAAGGGGGGATTGGAAAGGGGAGAAAGAAGAGGAGAAGGAGAGGGTGGGAAGAGAGATGACGTTCAGGGGAGAAGTGCTCTTGTGAGCAGTGGGAGTTTGCAAGCGCTCACATTCAAAGTGCTTCACTCACTTTCTCTCTGTTTCTGTCTACTTCTCTCTGTCCGTTATTTGTCCACTGGGACTCCTCTGTGTGCACTGACACACACACACACTTCCCCACATACGTCCTCAGCTCTCTTTAGGGAGGATTTCAAAAGACTCTGGCAGACATAAATATTTGTATGTATGAGGTCCCAATAAGTCCAAAGTCTATCAGAGCAAATCACAATCACTGGTGCAGCAATTATTTGTTTTATGACTGAGAAATACGTTTAAATCAAGAAAAAAATGGCCTTTCACTCACACCCTTGCACGGGCATTTTACATTTGACCAACTCATTTAAATTAACCTGAAAGCTTAGATTTTTACACCACTAAAGGTAAAAGACAATCACAGTTAGGAGGATACTGATCAGTGATTATAACAGTTTTTTTTTTTTTTAGTTTGTTTTGATCATTTAGGTTTAGTTTTTCCTGATTCTGGAATCAAAACTTATTTTCCTTGGGATGCTTGTTTCTGTTTTCATATTACATTATGTTCTGCTTGTTTACCATAAGCACCTGATGCCCACAACAGGAAATGAAAGTCCCACTTGGGAAATATCCCCCCCAAAACACAGGTTTACAAACTTGATTGTTATATCTGTGTCCTTGTTTTTGGGCATGTGCCGTTGGTCAAAACAAAAGTTAAAGATTCAATTTTTACCCCCTAAAAAACTATATTTAATAATGACTTGCCTCTGTGTTCAGCTAACTAGTTAAACATTCTTAAAATAACATGTGCTCCTTTTTTCCTCGTTATAAAATCCAGTATCTATGAATATGCAAATATTTTTTTCATTTCAGAAGTTTAACTACTGAACACAAGATGTCTCTCTGAAAAGTCCACGCTCAGTGCATCACACTCATGTACGTTGTATATTAGACCATGACTGGCTTCAGTGTGACAAACTCATGCTCATACATACGCACCTTAAACTCAGATTTCATGTGAGCACTAGGAAACTTTCCCCCTTCAACAGAAGAACATGAAAACAGTGGTGTCACATATAATCACTGAATGACTTTAATAGGCCCAGAAGATTCTTAGAGATGTTTGTGTGACTCCCATAACTGGCCACAGAAACCCCTAGGAAGAGAGTTTGCAAATCCCAAAAAAAGTTTGCACACAGCACCCAGTGAATACGCTGCACCTGCCCAGACTCTAGTAACACACCATCTTCCCTCTGACAAACCCCTTATTTCTGAAGCGTAAATTTCCCGTCACACCTCAGACAAGACTATCATTCTTCTCCTGGCATCAGGAAACTACTGTTGAAACAGGCATAAGGGGAACAGCCTATTTGCATACATAAATGTGAAAATTTGCAAGAAGACAGACAGAGAGGAAAAGAGTGAGAGAGGGCAGGTGAATAAGTCTTCTGTTGGTCGAGGAGCCGCAGCGGCGGGGGAACGAGGGAAGGTGTTTTGCATATTAAGGTTTTTTTGCTGGGCAGGTGTCTGAGAGATACAGGAGCTGATTAGAGTTTAGCACAAGGAAAATTTGCCCAGCCATGCAAATTCTAACCCCCCTGACAAACCGACCGCCTTGGTGAGCATGAAGACTCTGTGTTTAAGTGTTTGTGTGTGGAATTTTGGTGTCTGTGGGGGTGTTGTTTGTGTGTTTGATTGTGCATGTTTGTAAGTGCGGGTGCGTGGGTTGTGTGTTTTTTGCTATTTGATGTTTGTGTGGGAATGACATGTTTGTGTGTATTATATACTGTATGTGCACGAACACATTTGTTATGTTTTTCAGTCTTATATGTGTGAGAGTGTGAGTGTGTGTGTGTGTGTGTGTGTGTGTGTGTGTGTGAGTCATAGAGGTAATGTGGAGATGGAAATGTACTGGATGTGTATCAGGATGCCCCCAAGGCCCTTTTCTGTGGATCTCTCCCCTTATTCCTCCACCTCCTCTTCCTCCCCTACCTGCCTGCACCACCACTTGAAACAGGAGCCTACGCAGATTCAGCAAGCAAGCACACACATACACTCACACACACACACACACACACACACATGCTGAGTTTTCCCTTTGCCAGATTCAGCATCATCAAAGTTCCATCCACCTTGGTGGCGTCTTTGGAATGAATATGTCCTCTGTTTCAGTGCTCACACACATACACACATAGACACACACACACGTCTGTGGCCTTTCTTGTTTGATGCTAATCTGCTCTGTCACTGTGCTGGCCTACTACGCTCCCCATCTCCCTCCCAGCTCCTCTTTTGTCGTGATTGTTTCCCCTTTTCCTTCCACATCCCTCCTCCCTCACTCCCTCTTGTCATTCTCTCTTCCTTCTGTTGCCCCTCTCCTTTCATTATTTCATCCTCCTCTTTTGCATGTCTTCTGTTTTCCCCTCCCCCCCTGTCCCTCGCTCTTTCCCCCCAATAGGAAGTTTTAATGGCATAATTGCCCCTTCTGGCACAATGAACACCAGCAGTAATTAAAGAGCTTGCCATTAATTACCTAGACCCCGGCTCTACTTTCCTCTTTTCTCAGCCCCCCTCCTGATCCCCTCTCTTCTACTCTTTCTTCTCCGCTTCTCATTCACTCTGTCCGTTGCAATCAAAGTCTTCTGAAACACACCCGGCTTCCCAAAGCCTTGACTTTGAGTGAGCAACACTTTCATGTGAGGACTTTCTCGCTTAGTGTATTTTTTCTTTTTACTCCAGAGCCCATTCTGTATGTCTTTGAAAGCTCAATGACAACATCTTTCATAAGACAGGAGTGTGTGTGTGTGTGTGTGTGTGTGTGTGTGTGTGTGTGTGTGTGTGACCTGCTAATGGGTTAGAAACAGTAAAGGAGAGAGGTGGGGTCTGATAAAGAGGCAGTTTTATGATGGCTCTGGGAAACTCTCCGATTTCCATAAGACACACTGGGCCAAGTTTTCTCTGTCAGTGACAACTCCTCCCACAGAGGATACACACACCTCGGCATTTAAAAGAGAGGGCCCTGTGATCTCAATGTGAGAGGGAGGTACCAGCGAAAGCAGTGAGAAGCCTTCATGTACATACACACACAGGTATCATGTGTCTTCCCTTATCAGCTGCTTTTTCTCCTTTTGGAAAGATGTGCCACTCCTTTTGTCCCTCTTCATCTTTTGTCTATCCATCCATCTTTCTTCCCTCTGTTTGACTTAATAATGTCTTTGCATAGACACACAGTTATACACTGTTTTAGTAGTTTCAAAGTGACCAAATAATGTCTGAAAACTTGTTCAAGTTTGACATTCTGCTCCAAGTCCTTGTTTCCTCTCCTTCTCCCTTTGCAATTTCCCTCTTGCATCCTATCTTCCTCCCTCTTTCTTTCCCGCTCTTCATCCTGCTGTCTCTCTCTGTCCCACTCTGCTCAGTGTCTCCCCAACTCTCCATCCATTACCAGAGCCACAGAGAGCTGAGAGCAGATGCTGTCTGTCCAACCGCCATGCCCCATAGCATTGTGTGCTTCACCTCTCCTTCCCCCCTCTCTCCCTCGTTCCTCCTCTTCATGTCCCTCTCGGGGCTCCATTTGTTCTCCACCCAGAGCAGCTAATGTCTGTTTTCTCCTCCTCCTCCTGCTTTCCCCTCTCTGTCTTACACTTTTTCGTTCCTGCTCTTTTTTGGCTTTCTCACCACACGGAGCACGATGTGTTTGTGCGTTTGTGTGTGTCTGTGGAGGGGTTTGTGGCCACTGCACTGGTTGCACAGGCAAAGACATGGTATAAACACACCTAAGTACCTAAAAACACACACTTGCACACAGGTGAGGTGCTTTCACTGAAAAGCTCTAGGGTTCTCTTTGAAGAGCGATTGAAGACAAAAAGAGGCAGAAGATAGAGGGAGAGTTAAATGAAAAGCTGGTGGTATAGGTTTAGCTTCACAGCTGCCAAAAATACAACCAATACAATTTGCCAGTGGGTCTGTGTCAACAACACATACACACACCTTTCCTCGCCCCCTTCTTCCCCCTCAATTCTACAGTATCTCCCTCCATCCCCCTGGTCTCTTCTGCTTCCATTGAGAAAAGATCTCACTGCACTAAACATCCCTTACTGTACATGTGCATTTATCACATGCACGTTCCAGCTGTGCAGGATACTGTCATATACGGCAACAATTAATAAGTGGAGGACTTGCTGTCCTTGTATACACTTGTGCAACCATGGGTTTGTATGAGTGTGTGGTAGCACCCGGTTGTCCCACAAGAGCGAGCAGACCTGCCAGCTTCCTTTTCTAAGAGAGTAATCAAAGTCATATCAAATCAAAGTGTTTATTTGTCATATGCACAGTTAGGAAACATGTTTCCCTGTACAATGAATTCTTACTTTGCCGTCCACACGAATGCCACAAAATACAAATGAAATATAAAGCAGATAAATAAGTAACACAAAATCTAAGGCACTTTAAAGCAGCAAATGAAGAGATATAATACGAGAATGTAAACAGTACAGGTCGATAGTACGTCGTTACATGACATATTTCCTGGTAATGAACTCCTGTCAGCTGTTTAGGAGTCTGATGGCAAAGGGAAAGAAAACGTTTTCAGTCTAGTGGTCCTGCATTTCACACTTCTGAACCTCCGGCCAGAGGGTAGGGAGGCGAACAGTCCATGCTGGGAGTGGGTGGGGTCCTTGAGGTTGGAGGCAGCTTTCCTAATGAGAGAGGTCATCTGATATTTTATGTTCATGCATCATTTTTAACATGAACAGAGTTCAACAAGAAATTGTGATACACGTGTACCATCAGATTCTCATTCAAATGTGTTGCTATGTTTCTGTAGAGAGAAGTCTGTTAGTGTTAGGCACTGTGTGATGCTAATAGGCTTGAAAGGTTGGAATAACCCAGTTACAAAAATATATTTTCTCACTGAAACCTACATTTAGGTTCCAGTTTTATTTACCCAAGTTTGGAAATATCAACCTCTGGTTTCTGCTGCTGCCCTCCAGGACCATGGAGATTAATGTAATTGAGTTTGTGATGATCAAAGCACTGAAAAATTAAATACTCTGTATTCTGGCTAATCCACAGAATATACTGTCAACAGTTATCACAACTTTCCATAAATAAATAGTCCCCATGAAAACTGCAAAACAGGCCTTCACTGTACCACAAGCCTCATTTCCATCTAGTCTTCTTGCTTTATTAATTTTCTCAGTGAACAGATTTTGGGAAAGAAAACAACAAAGAACAGAATCATCTGCTTCTCAGTGAATAGCCCGGGGTGACTGAGGATCCCCGTTTGATGTGGCCTGACGGGTCTTTTCTTCAGCTTGTGGTGTGTGCACGTATATGGGAGAATAAGGCACTTTATTCTGTGCACTAATTACAAAACCACAGTGTGAAAGGCCTGGAGCACCAGGGATAGCAAGGGATCACTTATACATAAAGAACTATTTGATTGCCACTGTCCTTTCCTCACTTGCTTTCGCGCACCCTCAAACATATCCTCTCACTATGCTCACCCAACACTTGATTCTCTTTCCTCTCTGCTTTTCCACCAGCACTCCCGCCTCCGCACCTTCCTCCTCGTTTCTTTACCCCTCTCCTCCCTCCTCCTTCCCCTCCTCCCTCTGTCCCTGGTCACCTTGTGAGGGGCAGCCTGCTTTGTGGCACAGCTGCTGATTATGTCATTATTTCTGGACCATTTTGGTCTCCCTCTATGTGTGTGTGAGAGAGAAAGAGAGAGAGAGAGAGAGACTAATGAAGCGTGGCAAAGGGACTCATGCCAAAATGACCAGGGCGTGCATCAGAGCTGCAGATGTGTCAGAGCAACCCCCCTTTTCCCTCACACACTTCCCATTTCCCTTGCTGATGCCAAACTCTCCCTTTGTCAATCCAATCTGCAGTTTATTATTTTTCTTTCTTCTCCTGTCATCTCATCCCCTCACTTGCCCTTCCATCCTATCTCCTTCTACCCATCCATCTTCCATCCTCCCTCCTTCACTGCAGCTCCTTGCCCTCCATCCTTTATTGTTTGTCCACCCATCCACACCCTCCTTCCTCTCACCCTTCTATTCTTCCTTTCCCTCCCTCCTTCTGTTCTCCTCCTCTCCAGATGTCCTGTTCCTATCTTCCAGACTCCCTTGCTCCTTTCTTTCCCTTCTGCCTCCTGCTCTGTGGGTCTCTCTGAGCCAGGCTGACTTCCTGACCTCCAGAGGCCCTGTTACAGCTCTCCATGAACCCCCCACCCCCCGCTCTTCATTTAGATTGCTTTCTCTCAGCCAGTGTCCACCATACAAGCTCAGACAATGAATATTTAAGTCTCTAAACAAGGGCTGAACTGTGATTTCTGGCTTTCCCTGTTGTTTGCAAATCTACTGAGTATAGATTATTTTTCTGTCTGTTGTCTCTCAGTTGATATAAAGCCAGCACCTTCCCAGCTGCCCCTAATTTCTATAAACTGAGGAAATTAAATGTCAAAAGAGGAGCTGATATGATATGAATTCTAGGCTTGTGTGTGTCTCTGGATGGGGGGCCTGTTAAGGCAAGTAAAAGCAGAGGTAGGAGCAAGGAAGATGTGATAGCAGAGTGACTTCATCTGTGTCTTTGACCCTGTCCTGTTCTTGACACTCCAGCAAATGTGTACCTTGAGTAGAGCTCATATGACGCTAGTTCTTCTGCTCACATATGTCCAGACAGCAAGACACACACAAACATGTATACACAACAGCCCCTCAAGGCTTCATGTTCTCAAGGTTATCAGTGGAGTGAGGGTGGCTGGTGTTTGCTCAGCTTTGAGGTCCGTTTCCCGTCCCAGTAGTGTCCTAAGTACTGATCCTGATACTCCACAGATGAGAGATTTGAGGAATTGACAAGTATCTTGGAAAAGTTCAAGACGGTGCAAATCAAGAACATTATGCACTTGAGAAATACAAGTGTGAACGAAGGATCCACTGTGACTCTGCCCAATCTTTTCCCAGTTGGTTGGACTCTTCAGCCATGGCACAGTCTTTATCAGTGTCAGAGGGGGTTGGGGACAAGTGCAATGAGGGGCAGGAAGAAAGGGGACATGGGTTGTGTTTGCCTAAAGTGACAGTGTAGGCAAAAGGCTTATCAAGGCCTTTGTAGATTATTGATTGGAGCAGATATGTGAGGAACAGGGGCCTATGTGTGAGTGTGTGTTTGAGGTTTGGTAAGCTCTGGCTTGACTCAATGAAATGTCGGAGGCCTGCTCAACATCAGTTTAAGCTCTTGTTTTTAAACTAATGTTTCAATGTCAGCAGAAGAGAGAATATCCTTATTATACAGCCACTGCCAGATGACCCCATCTATGGCAGTCACCATGTGTATTACAAAATCTGTAATATCCCTGGCTCACATACATGCACACGTATGCACATATCCAGTGACTGAAAAGCATGGGAAGTGTTGGTATTCCCAGGCTGCATCAGGATTAGGAATTAACTTAGCTGGCAATGAGGGATAATGGTGTGTCCCTGCATTTCATCCTTCAAGGCTGCAGCTTACTGGGACACACACTCATTTACACACACAACCTTATCGTCCAGGGTCTCGTCTTGTTTGGCCAACGCTGTGCAAATAGAAGGTGCAATACATCTCCTGACAGTTCCCAAAAGCAAGGGGGAGAAACACGTTGGCCAAACAAACAGCCAACCCTGAGTCACAGAGAGAGACGAGGTTTCACAGGCTTTACCGAAACACATGCAAAGACACACATATGTGCATGCACATACACACACATGTGTAACAGTAGCCTTTATGTGAGAGCTTGGGCCTCTAGCTACCTTTTTAAACATTTGTCTAAGCAGTCTTAAGACAGGGGCCACTGCCGGAGTGAATAGCTCCCAGCAAGCTGTCCACAGGCTTCTATTGTCCTCTGTCATATTTTATTATCTCATCAAAAAGCAGGAAATCCGATTCCCTCTCTCTGAAAAAGAGCTTATCCTTCTGTCTCAAAGCAACCTGTCACAAGAGAGGGAGATGGAGTGAGGTGGAGAGAATGGAGGAGTGAGAGGGGGGAGTCAGTGAATGAGAGTGATTAACTGCCTCATTGCTGTCACAGACGTCCCTCTTTCTTTCTTCCTTCCTTCTTAATTTGTATTTACCCAAAAACACAGCACGATGCAAAGGTTAGGAAAACGTGTGCATCCAGCTTTATCCCCTTTGCTGATCATTCTCTCCCTTTTCCCTCCCTGTCTTCCTCCTTTCATATTGTGTTACACGGGGGTAGTGCAACAATAATATCCCTTTTCATGAGAGCTTTTGTTTTTTGAACCCCGGCCACACACACACACACACACACACACACACACACACACACTTCTATCCTCTGTTTTTCTCACACCTTCTGTCAGAGCAAAACAGTTCATTTTCAGAAGGCCATATGACATTGCCAACTGAAAGTGTGTGTGTGTGTGTGTGTGTGTATCTGTGTGTGACACATGAAGAAGTCAGCCATGGTTATGCTGGCCCTCTCTCACTCAGGCTACTTTGACTTTAAGGTAGCTACATTTGAAAATGCTGTTTTAGTGATAAAACAGCATACACATGAGCATTTTCAGACAGCACAATCAAAATCTTGTCTTCTCCATCCTCTTTTAGTTGACAAACTACAACAGTGTGCACTATAACCAGCATCTGCTATGGAGTGGGACAGCCCAGCTCTTGCTCTTCATCACTGTGTCATTTTATTCAGCCAGACTTTCTAATTATTATTGTAGCACTAATAGTTTTATAGTGGTTTTGAAATGCATCCTGCAGGTGAACTGAAGTTCATGAACTGCTGCTGTCATTGATCACATTATTTTTATTTAGTTGTTGCATGTGATCAACTTTATTGACATTTCAAATTATTGGTCACAGAGAAAGCAAAAGGTGCCAGAAAGTTGTCCTGCCACACAGCCGCTGGTCATGACTGAGCTGGTTTCAGTCATTGCTCTCCAAAGGCTTGGTTTTCTTCATCCTTACTAAATGTAAAGCCAGATATACTGTACCTGCTCTGGTGACTTGATTCTTCTGTTTTTTAGGTGAGGAAAACAGCAGCGTACTGCCAACTAAAAAAAAAGATGCATTTTCACATTTAACTGTCATAGTGTGGACGTACCCCCAGTCACCTTTTCCAGGCATCATTCCTGACACATACACACTACTTTCTGTCTCTTGCTCTATACTTGTTTCTCCTGCCTCTCTCCTCCCCTCTTTGTACATCTGTCCTTTAATTTTGGGGTCTGCTGAGAAGTTGTTAAAAAGCCCTATGAAATATGTATGAAGGATTGTGCGGCACGCGATTGGCCCCATTTACTGGACAGCCGAGTGAATGAACGACCACACTGGATAATCCCCCACAATACCTCTGAAAGGCCCAACAGCTGACCCAAGAGAGAGTAGAGAAAGCAATAAAGAGGGGGGCAGTAAAGGGGGACAGAGTGGGACGAGGGAGGGTTTTAAACAGTTAAGGCTCACTGCTGGTCAGGAGGCAGCTCGCTCACATACACAATTCATACAAACTTGCAAAACAAAAGCTTGTGGGACAGGAATAACTCCCTCTGTTCTGTCGCACCCCTCTCCCTCCTTAGACTCTTCTCAGCCCCTCCTTCTCTCGTCATCTCCCTCCCTCCCATGTTCCCTCTCCCGCTCTCTCAGTCAAGAGGATCTGAAATACCAATACCCCTTTCTCCTTGACATTGCTTTCTCCTTGCAGTCAGCGTTTTGCTGTCCTTTTATAGTCAAAACGTCAGGAGAAATTCCATGCAGGAATATTCTTAGTAATGCGGCACTCCCTGCATCTAATAGCCAGGACGCTGCGCCACAACGGCCTGTTAGCGAGATCTTTTGAGAAAAGCGTGCGTGCACAGACATACACAACTTACTGTACAACGCATACACACAAAGCTGCCCTCACACTGGGGGGGGGTCATTGTGCCAGTATTACAGAGATGACAGCTTCCCAAACAGTGAATTATATTCACTTCTATCTGACCACAGGGAGATTCTCTCTGTCAAACACGCGTGCACAAGTGCAAGCTTTTTATTCACAACTCACCTTTTCACACAAACAATGAACAGACATATGCACACACATTCACACAACAGACACACGGGCATCTTAGTCTCCATTCATCACCCCAAGGGGGGTGAGTGGCTGTCCCATGTGTGTATATGTGTGTGTAAAGAGGCCTGCCCCTGCCTGTGTGTTTGACGGTGTGAGTGTGTGTGTGTGTGTTCCAGTGGCCACTAACCTTGTTGTGTCCTGACACTCCTGATGAGTATCTGCAGGACACTGGAAGAGAGAAGCAGAGCGGAGTGTGCAATCGGGCAAGCTGCTGTTGCTGTATATACTATATGTGTGTGAGTGTGTGTGTCTGTGTGCATGCGAGCATCAAGAGAGGTGGGTAGGGAGACAGTCAGCATTATCCAAGCAGGTGACCCCTGAAGGCTGCGTTGCCCTGGAGCTTTGAGTCGAGGAAGGAGACTCAGCCAAATACACCTGGGTAGTTAGTGTGTGTGTATAGCGAGCATTATGTAGAGCTCTGTCACAGTACAGGATGTGTCATCTCCTTGGCACAAGGAGGTGTGTGTGTGTGCACTCACGTCTGCATGTGCGTGTGTTTGTATGTGTGTGACAGAGTGTTGGCTTCGGGGAAGGTGTCGCAGATCTATGCCAGACTAATCATCTCCATGGTGTCGGTGAGCACTGCTGTCAGGGACACTAAAGAGGCGGCATGTCTCCCCGTTCCCAAAGCATTTAGTACTTCCTCTTTCGCCAGGTCCTCTCCGCTGCTCTTCACTCAGCTCCGCTCTCTTGTTTGGTCACAGATTTACAGTGGGACTCATAAAGATGTCACACTTGCCGTGTTGTTGGGAGAGAAGTGGGAGGTGTGAGAAACCTGAGAATTCACAAGAAGGGACTTTTCTCAGGCCGACACCTCACCTGACTTTTAAGGAAGTAGATACTCGAGATGGGAGATTTACGGTTTCTACACATATTCCACAAATGAGGGGCTGACGGTGTTGAGGATAAAGCCAAGAAACAACTGTAGATTACAAAATACAATAGAGTTTGTGAGATGTCATTTCAGGTGTTCAGGGTGTTCTTGAAGTAAAAGTCATTTTTGCCACTATTAGATGACTGGCTGTTGGATTACTCTCAAGGCTTTGACAGACATGAAACTGTCCTGCCTGAATAATCAGTACAAAAAATGAACAGCAGCAGTAGATGGTGTCTGGTTGTTTAATAAAGGGTCAGAAGAACCTGTACATGCCAGTTTACATAAAGCATACAGAGAGAGTTGACTGTGACCTTGAAGGAGTATCTCGACCAGAAATACACAGTCACTGACCTAAAAATTCTGTCATGTGCATGACTAGCAGCCAGTGGAAACAAAAGTTATATATGACAGTGTTCATATTTGCAACCACACTGGTTGGTACTGCAGTATTTAAAACTATTCACCATAAAAAACTGCCACATAAAAATATTTGAAATATTGTTAAAATAATCCAAGCTGGTAGTTTTGGTTTTGTACTGTTAAATTATCAGTATTTCATGTTGTGGGATATTAAAGGTAGGGTTGGCAATTCTTTTCAGAAGCACTTTTTGTTTACAGCCAGACAGTAGTCAGCTTTAAGTGTATAGACAGGCCACATGCTGTGTTCATGTTACCAAGACAAAATAAAGCCCGTATTTCTGCTTTGTATTTGTAAGTAGTAGTCAGGCAGTGTGCGTTGTGTTTTGGAGGAGTGGCTTCACAGAGAAGTCGGAATGAAAGGGTTGGATTTCTTAGGTTGTCTGCGTTCA